AATTATAGTCGATCGTTTAATTTTACGATCGTGTTTTCATCTTGTATCTACTTCATTCAGTTAAATTAAACTTTATTTCTTAAATAACTTATTCTAAACTAACCTAATAAAAAACAAGATTTAGTAGTTATCAATTTATTTAAATAGTTCACAAAATCATCTTTGTTTGCTATAGAAATAGACAATTTAACCGAATTTTAGGCTAAATATATTAGTGTAAGTAGAATTTATGTAACATCATCATCATCATCATCAGCTCACTATACGTCCCCACCGAGGGGCTCGGAGCCTACCCTAAGTTAAGTGTGATTAGGCCATAGTCAACCACGCTGGCCAAGTGCGGGTTGGTTGACTTCACACATATCTTTGAATTACTTCTCAGATATGTGCAGGTTGCATCACGATGTTTTCCTTCACCGTAAGAACGTCGGATAAATATACATATGTAAATCGGAAAATCGAAAAACACATTGGTACATGGCGGGATTCGAACCCAGGACCTGCAGATTGCAAGTCAAGTGCTTGACCACTGAGCCACCGACGCTCCTTATTTATGTAACAAAACATTTTAAATAATGGCATATTAATTCTCAGTATATTAAATGAGTTAAGTTTATTCTTTATCGTGAGTAAAAAGGCTTTTCAATTCCAGTTAATTAATAATAAGTATAATGCGGTTTCGAAGTTTAAAAGCACACGAAGTGTTCGTACGCGTAGTTTATGGTTTTGAACACACGCACACAATGCTACTCCAATCGTTTTATAAACACGAAAACGTTTAAACTCCGAGGCTTACGTTCGCCAGACTTTGGAATCGTAAAACTTAATTAAAATGGAAGATTCGAATTGGAAAAGAATTTTATAAGCGATGTAGTGTATGCATAAACGTAGTGTTGTTTGTCTCGAGCGTACACGCCATAAGTACATGCCGGAGAGAGGGGACGTCAGTCGATGTCAGACCTTTGAGCCGGCAACACGTGTCGGTACGTGAACGAGCCAAATATAGCACAACGAATGCTACATTGGCGACGAGGATAAAACCGTGAGTACGGAAATAAATTGTATTTGAAAAAAAAGGAAAGAGAAGACCAGTGTGTAAAAAAAAAAAACATTTCAGTAATTGATGGACGAAAGTATTGTTTAAATTATTTTGCCTTACCATACAAAAAAAAAAATAGTAGGTAATGGATTGCCAAAAATAGCAACAGTCTTCTCTGTTTACATATGATTTGTAAAACGTGGCCTTAAGTAGTTCCCAGCCGTGAATGTTTTAAAAACGGTTCGGAATGTAAACTTAACCAATTGAATATCGAGATAAGATCACAATATTTTACTATCAGAGAAACAGATTTATTGCTGTGCTCGTCCCTCTAAGTTGTTAACTAAAAAGTTCACTACGATGTCACATCGAAGTACATGTGCAAGCGACAAATTAATTCCGGTCTATTGATGAAGCAGGAAATGAATAATGATTAAGAAAAGAAAATATCGAACAGTTACAATGATAAAATAAACATTACTACGAGGGTAGTATATCCACGACATATACATATATTGTCATGATTTCGACCAAAATCAATAATCAAATGCATTTTTAAGACTGTCTTCGACCGATGGTTGACAAGTAGTGTGTAGATGGATAATAGCATTCGGCGATGTTAATCTCGGTCAACCTTATGTGTATACATAACTTCAATAATATAGGTACAGTCACCTCCAATAAAGTGTCAGCGATGGAGAAATTGCAAAGAATGCTAAGAAAAAAAGAACTCGGCTTGTACGATCGCATGTGTTCTCCATATTCCTTTATGCCTCCAAAACGTGGACCCTACGAGAGAGTGAGAAAAAGAAGATAGACGCGCTCGAGATGTGGTGCTGGAGAAGAATGCTGAAGATACCTTGGACCACCAATGTACTAAAAAGGCAGCGACTAGGTGGCGTCTAGTAAAGCAGATCACTGATACATGATGACCATGACCAATCTGACAAAACTGTAACGACGAAGAAGAAGAACTTTCGCACTTGTCTACAGAGTATAGCTGACCATTAAATTGGTTAGATCATTGGTGTCTTGGAGATATAAAAGAACCACGGCTGACCATTAAATTGGTTAGATCATTGAATTGTTATAGGTATAAAAGCACCACGGCTGACCATTAAATTGGTTGGATGATTCATGTCTTACAAGTATGAAAACTGCATAGCTGACCATTAAATTGGTTAGATCATTGAAGTCTTGCAGATAAAATAGAACCACGGCTGACCATTAAATTGGTTAGATCATTGAAGTGTTACAGGTATAAAAGCACTACAGCTGACCATTAAATTGGTTAGATGATTCATGTCTTGCAAACATGAAAGCTGCATAGCGGACCATTAAATTGGTTAGATCAGTCATGTCTTACAGACATGAAAGCAGCACGGCTGACCATTAAATTGGTTAGATCATCTCATCGTTAAATCGATAAGTTCATTTACAGCCTGAAAAGTTATCAAGTACATAAATTAAGAAGATTGAAACCCTGATCGATAAATTGATATTACGAGTGGTAAGAAGTTTGAAGCTAAAATTTGTGTGAGGCAAACTGTTAACTAAATTAAGGTGAGAGGTATCTAAATTAAGGTGAGAGGAAATACATTATCTACAATAAAATCAAAATAATGTTTTATAATTAGAAAAACCACCAACAAAACAAATCATCAATAACATGTCGTTTGTAAAGTTACAGATTAATAAACGCAGCACTCGGCGAGCAAGTCTAATTGTTGTGCCGAAGGTGAGTGGAAAGAGATATATGTATAACATACGAAGGAGTACAGCTTCATAAGTTGTTACTGTCATCTTTATAAATGTAAGTTCAGTTAATCAATTTAAATCTAAGCTACCTGAATACATTTTAGATTTTTGTAAAAAAGTAAAGTAAATTTAAGTCAAATCAATGGCGACTATATTATGTACATTGTACGATATTGTTTTCAAGTAAGTGACTATTCCTTTGTCTTTTTGAGAAGTAATTCTTTTAACCCTGTTATAAGCACCTTACTACAAAATACGTAGTACAAAATGATATAAAATGTGATTGACTATTAGTCACGTTTTGTTATGAATATTTACAATATGTATAACGCAATTTCTAATATTATATTGCCAGTTACTAAAGTCATCATAATTGGCTTTATTAACGAATCCGTGGCTAATGCTGGATTGGTGAAGTTTCCAGAGATACTATTAACTACGAGTATATGTAAGTTCAAATCTCGTGATGTACTGTGCACTAAACGAATTTCGATTCAATAATTGTGAAACAGATAAGTAGTTTCCGTTTCCGGCGATAGATGACTCAGTATTTAAAATACATCTGAAATTGATTTTATTGCTCTAATTTGGTAAAAATAAGAGCGGAAACGTGTTTTTCTTTGATAATGACATGCTACATTTGCCGTAAAATAGAATAAATAAAGGTTAATGTTTTCTTTCTGAAATAGCTTTATTTATAGCATAATTATTGGACCAAGTCATGGAGGAATTCATTGTAAAAGTCGCTGTTTAGGCAACTCCTCGCTGAGGACACACTAGTCGCAGTCGGGGTATGTTGAAGCTGGATTTTGTTATCAATAACCGACAAAAAATTGGTGAGTCAACTTGAATTAAGTTTTAACAGCTTTAAACTCAATTTAGGGAGTAGAAATACCGATTTATGAAATATTGAACCAAAATCGCACTATCGACTTATTTAAACGATTTTAGCACACCGCCTAAAAGAGTGTTTCAAATCAAAGAGATCTTGTTGACATAATATATAATTTTACTTTTAAATGGCATTCCATTTGGATTATTATAAGCTGAATAAAAAACGATTGCGGAATAAAATGCTATCCCTTAGTTCTACAAGTAACTTAACTATTTTCATACAGAAATAGCTACCTGTTTGATTGTAAATAAATAGATAGTAAGAGAATAAACGGCAATGACAAGTTCATTTGCTGACCTGTGAAAAGAAGGGACAAAGAGTTTGTCTCTTTATGTTTATTTATGTTACGCTTATATTGAAAAAGACTTTTACTATGTTCAGAGTAGTCATTAGCAATTCATTGTTACATATAGATATAGTTGAACATCTGATAAATTGGAAACTTATAGTGGCATTTAAATATTGTCCATCAAGTTAAATATAAAGTTCAACATAATTAAATACCGTTAGTGACTCTGTGTTGTGGGTTGAAAGATCTCAAATAAGCTGGGAAATAAATTTGGTAATTAAATATAAAAAAGGTATAAGTCTTGACTTTTGAAACCTTCATTCAATAGAAAATGTAACATCTTTGAAGGAGAAGAAACATTAAATTGTTAACATAGTAAGTTAGTCATTTTCAGGTTATGTATTAGAAAAGAAAATTATCATTGACTATTCCATAATATAGGGATAGAACATTCTTATTGATGCGAGGGTGCCTTCATCTGTCTGTCTATCTGAGCTTAGGTTTGGTACATTGATGGACGGGAGCCTGGGACCATTGTCATGGACTGATTTTGATGTATTGGAATATGTGAAGTTTGTGCGAGTTTTTGTGGGTTTAATATGTTTCAGTATAAAACTTAATAATATTAAGTGATTAGCCTAAGTGATTGAAATGCTATCCAAGTCAGTATTTCGTACGAGCGAAGTCGCGGGCACAGTTACATCTGAAAATTAAAAAGTAAACAAGTTAAATGGTCACACAATCAGTTACATCTTTTGGTGTTCCAACCAACTAGTACTGTGTCTACAGTGCATAACATTCATAGTAGAGAGTAAAATTTTATTGTTACTACTAGCGTAAATTATCACGCCTAGGATACATTCAAACTGTTAAGTACTTTTAAGTACTGTTAATTATTAAACCTATCTTTTTAGCAAAATATTTGGCTTCGACATTAATAATTTACACAAAGATAACAAAGTAAACGTCAATTAAAATCCTGCTTCCCATACCGTAGAGACAGGTATTGATGGCGATATTGAAGTTTGGAATATTTTAACGTGACAAATGTCAAGACGAAAATAAGTTTATTTAAAAAGAATTGAGGGACACTGGAGCGTTCTAAATAACAAATGGAAGGAAGTAGAGCATATAGAAGGAAGAAATAATGGAAACATGGAAGATAAGTATAGGATGGTAACAAATATCTATGCAGTTGTTGTGAAAATAATTATTAAGTGAATTTATATTTATTGTTATTGAATCTAAGTTTATTAAACTTACAAAATGGATATACATGTAGAAGTGTAGAGAAACTTAGAAAATCGAATTTTATGTATACTTGTATTCTATTAATTGATAGTTTTAGAATACAAGTACCTATACTTAGCAAGATTAAATATATTAAAAAAAGGAAGGGATGTAGTGTATGCATAAACGTAGTGTTGTTTGTCTCGAGCGTACACGCCATAAGTACATGCCGGAGAGAGGGGACGTCAGTCGATGTCAGACCTTTGAGCCGGCAACACGTGTCGGTACGTGAACGAGCCAAATATAGCACAACGAATGCTACAAGCGTGTATGTCGAATTTGCTTGTTTTTAACATATTTTAATTCTATTTGTTTGTGTAGATTATTTTAAATTAAGGAATTTAGTTTGTTTTATTGTAAACTTTTTGTTGTTTAAGAATTTTAACCTTCATTTGGTTATTTTATTTCAATGGCTCAATTTTATGTTACTAGCTGTCGCCCGCGACTACGTCCGCATTGATTTATAAAAAAACTTAATTAGTGTAGCCCACCCATCCATCCATCCACATCACATCCATGGAAACATTCGCATTTATAATATTAGTAAGTCAAATAAAAAGCAACTCTTCAAGGCATAAATTCGAAAAAATGAATAAATAGTATCCTATGTCCGTCTCCTGGCTCTAAGCTACCTCCTCACTAATTTTCACCCATATCGGTAAAGCCATTCTTGAGTTATAAATAGTGTAACTAACACGACTTTTTATATATATAGATTTTACGATAACATAAGTTTGTCTTAAAGAATTAAAAATAGTACTACTGTTAACATATCACAACTAATAAATCTTTCTTCTTACATAACAACACAATTTAAAACTTTTTTCTTAAACATTATCATAGTTACTAAAATGTGCATAAAAATAATTATCATTTTACGATAAAAGTTTGACATCAATTATGTATTTAAAACAAACGTTCTTTTATCTCGTGTTACTAACGTGTATGTTGGTAATGACTCATAATTACGTGTTGCCAACATTACGCATTATATCATTCGTTTACAATGAATTTAACGAATAGACGCGGCAAATGCTTAATACCTTTAGTGCTACGGAATTAACTTTTGTACAGTCAGCTGTATAAATATGTATGTGGCTTTCGCACGCGACTCCGTCCGAGCGGAATAAAAAAAAACTTAATACGTAGCCTATAGGATTTACTAGACTATGTTCTACATCTATGCCAAATTTCAGCGAGATTCCTTGAGCCGTTCTGGTGATACCTTCAAACAAATATCCATCAATCCATCTAAATATTCACATTTATAATATTATAGTAACAGTAAGATATTTTTTTATAAGCTAGCGCTTGACCACGATCCCACCTGGTGAAGTGGAGATTTGGTCGAAAGAAAAAACATATACAAAACTTCAGAAATTTTACACGTTTTGGTTTTAAAAAATATATATACACGTATCGGTCTATGCTTCGGACCATGAGCACATGCCCTTGATGATTACGTGCGCAAGTATTTTTTTAAAACAACGGCCACCCACGTCTCCAAAGATTTGTAAATGTGTACATATTTATGCAGCTGACTGTACAATCAAAGAAATAAATTCGCTTTTAGGAATATACAGCAAACTATCACCATATAACCTTTAATTGGTCCAACATTGAAGGTTATGACGCTTATAATTAACACGACGAACGTAAAAGCCACATGCAAGGGACGAAAACATGGACTATAGTTGTATATGAAATAAGATTAAGAGCGAAGTTTAATAGAATTCCTGATTATTCAGACGTTCACAACCGGTATCCCCCGCCCTCGTTTTGGGATCTCCAAATCCCAATGCGTTCTCATATTTCCTCCCCTTTTAAATAGGTTTCGCTTCAATGGCCAAAAAATATGTGAGGTTATTCCTCTCTTTGGTATATTGAATTTTTTTGTGTTCACATTTTATGATTTGACAATAGTTTTTGTTAATTTATAATAACATGAATTAATATCGTAATTATAAATGGATTAGTGGAAATAAAAATACTTTAAAAATTAAGAAACTACATCTACGTTTGGCAGTATAAATCCTACTAATATTATAAATGTGAATTTTTGGATGGATAGATGGGTGTTCGACACGACCGTTGAAGCGTACCAGGACAAGCACGACCTTCAGTAATGAAGAATACGAAGAAGAAGAAGATGGGTGTTTGTTTAAAGGTATCAGAACGGCTGTAAGGATCTAGAAATTTGTCATACATATAGAACATAGTGTGGAAGAACACATAGGCTACTTATTATGTTTTTATTAAATTCCGTGCTGACAGAGTCGAGGGCGACTACTAGTTGCATAATAAAGCTATTAGACTTTAAATAATATCGAAGTATGGAGTTATTTTTATAGTGCGTGTATAAAATAAAATAAGTATATTAAAAGTTTTGAAAAGCGAAGCATTTCGTCGCGGAGGGTTGTACGAAGTATGAAACCTTTGTTAGTCCCCACGTCGTCTGGCAAAGGGTAGGCCGGATACATCGTAATGTTGCATGAATACCAAATACGGCTGTAACTTTACATAATGCGGTGTGCTTGTGTATTAATATGAGATACCTCCTTACTATGTTGTTAACCGTATTTATTAGGGTAATGTTGATAGTTTTGGGGTTTTCAACGTCGAAAATCTATGATAATTTTGTTGTGTATGTTTTGGTAAGGCAAACTCAAAGAAGTGTTATGGTAGCTTGGTATCTACCGGGTCTAGATATCTACTGGTCATCCAGGTACTAGATATTATTTGTGACTTAATTTTTATTATAATAATATAAATCAATTCAAAATAGAATAAACAAATGAATATTTGTCGTAAAATATTTTTCATTTACGCAAAATGAATAAAACAAAAAGCTAGCGACATCAAAAAACTACAAGCATTTAAAATCTCGACGTTGAAAAATGTAAAACAATTTGTTTTTTATCGCTATGTATATTTATAAGGCAGCGTTTTGTTTGAGTGTTACAAATGTATTTTGCGTTAAGATTTGGAAGGGTTGTGCGACTGAGACATGGGGGACATACTTGCACCAAATGTATTCAAATTATTTAGCACTTTCATAATTGTTCACTTGCTCAGTACCAACTTCGTATAAATTTCATAATTTAATATTTTATTCGCTTTTCAAATTTATTTTATGCACCTAAAGTAGGAAAAATCGACCATGTCAAAAAACGAATAAGGTAATCGAAACGGAAATTTGTTGTTCAAAACATATAAATAAAATGTATGAAACATACAGAAAATTATCTTAGTTTAAGCATTAATTAAAACATATTTGAAATTATTATTAATAAAACTCTGTATTTTAATTAAAACGCTCACCGCGTCGTTCAAGCTTAAATTAT